GTTGAGAACTCTACTAATTATATGCTTTGAAATCCAGACCTTGATACAGCCATGCTTCTAAAAAAACAGCAACATCTTTAAGGTAACCATAGCTATTCTTAATGAAAAAAATTCCATCAAAATTCTACTTATTCAAATAGGCAAAATATATTGTGTACAACAAATGAAACCAGAAACTGAACTATTAGGAAATATGAACATACTCATAAATATGCCCCTGCACTAGGAGAATTTTGTTCCATTTTAAAAGCAGGCAGAACTTAAATACTGATATTACATTTCTCCTTGAATTTTCATGTAGAATAATCTTTTGGCTTTTCATGCAATTGCTGCATGCCAAAATAATAGAAGTATTTCCAACACAAAAATTTCAATAGCCTTAGTATTTGGTGTGGAAATCAAGACCTGAGAAAAAATTGTTGACTTGAGTTACTGTAGGTCACAGTCTGCTTGGTGTAACTACAAGTATGCTACAACTTCAGGCATTAGCCCTAGGCCTCACTTATTGCTCAGGGTTTTACTTGCTTCAAATTAAATATGATGCCAGTATGGATAATATGTCCTTTTTATTTTTTCATTGTTTCCTTCTCTATCCTTTCATTAAAATTAGTAGAGTAGAATGCCCTAGATGGACTGAAATGGTTGTGTTTCCATGTAATTCATCTTAGGTGTGAGGTTCTAGTAACGATCAGTGTCCTTACAACACACGTTCTGGTGAGGCATCACCTTCAGTCCTGGATGCGGTTTTGGGCTCCACAATGTGGGATGGATATAAAGCTATTGAAAAGCATCCAAAGAAGGGCCACAAAGAGGTGAAAGGGCCTAGAAGGGAAACCATATGAAGGAAGAGCAGCTGAGATCACTTGGTCTGTTCAGAAGAGACTGAGGGGAGACCTCAATGCAATTTTTAACATCTTTACCAGGGGAAGAGAAGGGGCAGATACCAATCTCTTCTCGGTGGTGCCCAGTGACAGGACTCAAGTGAGGGACATAAAGCTAAGGAAGGTTTAGGTTGGATATCAGAAGAAGATTCTTCCCCCAGAGGGTGTCTGGGCACTGGAACAGGCTCCCCAGGGAAGTGGTCACAGCACCAAATCTGACAGCACTCAAGAAGTGTTTTTAAAATATTCTTAGGCATGTGGTGTGATTTTTTGGGGTGGTCCTGTGCAGAGCCAGGACTTGGGCATGGTGATTTTTCTGGGTCCCTTCCAATTCAGTATATGCTATTATTCTGACTTACAGAGTCAGTAGAACTAATTTTTCTTTTCTTGGACTTTTACTGGCATTGAGAGAAAGCTGCATTGTGAGCAAAGTTAAAGGAACAGACTAGATAAAACCATTTTCCTTTCACCCTGACTAAGGCTATATGGACACACCTCCTAAAAGGCACTTTAAAAAGCAGGTAAGTTTTCTGGGCATCTGTTAAAGAGGATTAGAATGAGAAATACATTGGTTGTTATTATTGCTTTCTGTCAGTTACCTCTGAAAATTGTTCTTTAATAAAAAATCGAGTCTTCTGAAAAGCAACAAGCTGTTCCTTTTTTATTCACCTATGAATAGAAGTATTCTGAGTGAATTCCTGTAGCACAACTTAACAAGTGACTTCTTTTATTCTAGTATTTCACTACATGGTCGTTGATGTTTGGGATCTATGTGCCCTAACCATTTCTCTTTCAGAGATGACAATGGAGATAAAATTTAAAGTGCAATGAACAAAGCTTAAAATGGCAGCATCTGCTGCTGAGACAGATACTGCTGTGTAATTCCAGTACACTCCTGTGATACAGGGACCTCCCATGATGATTCAAAATTCCTTTACCTGCCCACCTTTACTATAGGGATTAGAGGTTTTTTTCCCACATATTGTGGGGGAAAAAAAAAATAAATGTAATACTCATTTCATCTAGTTGAGTTTTGAGACTTATAAGATTACCACTGTACTTCTACATGGAACAGAGACCTTCCCCAAATATTCTAGAAATGTCTGAACTCTTTCCTAGTAACAGCAAGTACTGAATGAATTCCTTATTTTGCTTCATCTATGTGAACAGCTTTTGCTTGACCTAATGATTTATCCTTATCTCAAGTTTTCTTACTTTTGTGCTTCTGATTCTTTCCAAGACCTCACTGGGGAAGAGTGAACAACCAGATATTTAGTACTTAGCTGTCTACCAGGGTTAAAATATGTCACCACTGCATCCTTGAGAACAAAAGCATTCAAAAATATGGATTTGACCAGAGAGAAGGATTAAAATTAGGTCATGCAATTTCTTTGTTCACTAATATAAACACTGCCTTAACTAGATTTTAAAAGATACAGGAACTTTTATATCCCATATCTCATTCTCTGTGACATTAGTTATTCTGGCACCAGGGATACATTTTCAAGTATCCCACATAGTTCAATAGGACAATCTCCATCACAGTATGTTTATATACATTTCCCATATACCTGTAGAAATTAGAAGATTGGTCTCAACAAAACAATGAAAGAGAAAAAAAAAAAATTGTGGCTAAATCTATGAACAATCTTAATGACTGTTATAAAAAGTTTTAAGATAAGGAAAAGGTATGCAGTTGAAGTAGTACTTTTAACTCTGGTTGGTGAGTTTTCTTGGGATTCAGTTCATTTTAACAGTAGTAAGATTATTTTAATTAAAGGACGTTTTTGTGAAGTGAGAATGAGGTGTCTAACATGCCAAATCAATTCCTGCCTGTGTGGTTGCTCTACACACAAGGAAAGATAGCAATAGATTAGATTAAGCTTATTCAAGGACAATTGGTCTACTGCACTGAGAAATTGCTGATATGGATTGTTTCAATGTCATAAGACATATTACTTACAAGCACTGTTGTAGATTCAGAAGTTTTTATCCACTTTCAGAGAAAATAAAAATGAAAATAAGAAACTAACTGTAGAAGGAAATGGAAAGCACAAAAATAATGACAGCTATTCAACAAAGATAACTATATATTATAACTCTTTATTCGCTGAGCATTTAAACTTAACATGGGGAGATTTTCCTGAGTAAATAACCCAAAATGTTTTACATATAAACAGAAATAAAATCTAAAGTTTAAAATTTCATGTGTATATGTTAAATTTCTACAAGGTTTTGTTAAAAAGCATGGAACCAAATTGAAGTGAGTTTATTACTTTTTAAATCAAAGTTCTGCTTTTCACAGCTGAGAAAGTTACATCATGTCATATTTTGTGTTCAATAAGATGTCTGTTCCAAACATGATTTGAATGTTAATTCAAAAGCTGCAGCTGTAGTGTTTATAATTTAAAAACACAATTAAGAACCAATAGATGTAGAACTACAATTGTTTTTCTGGTTGTAGAAAACATTTAGTTCAGAGTCAAGTAGATATGCCAAAATTGCTACTCTATTTCCCTTCCTTCTTTCCCTTTCCAAATATATAGATTAAACAGTAAAGAGGTATAAATAAATTTTTGTATGGATCAAGATTGAAGAAGTATCTAGCTATTTAAAAGCAGAAAAAGTAAAAAAAAATAAATTTAAAAAAATCTATTGCAATATATAGAAGCCCTTACAATGACACTCCACAAAAAAAGAATCTTGGCCTCATTGCAAGATGTCTCTGAACAAAAAAGTTGTTTGCACTTGAATTTGGTCATGACTCAGTGTTTAGGAACGTTTAATGCCATTAATTGCATATTTTTATTGCCATTTATGGTAAACAGTTAAACTTTTGTTTCATGATCACATTGTACAATAGAAACCTTATTTGTAAAAACCTAATTGTAGTGAAACAATCTTTCATTGACAAATCCAAAATTTTAGGCGTCACCGCAATTTAAAATATGTCAAGCGTAGATTTATAAAAAAACATAAAACAACAGTCTCTAAAGGGGATAATGGAGAAGTGAAAGGAAAGGTTGATAGCTAAAACTCCGGGTTATTAAACTATTATTTCTTTTTCAGTGGTGGTAGATTTAAAGTCTGTTTTCTCTGTGTGTTGCCATCAGTTCTTCAGATTAAATTAATTTTCATTCTTTGGGTAATAAACATTGTTCCTATATTTCAAATTGTTATTTTTTTAAGTTCTGGCACTTATATTTAAGTTGATGTACATATGGTAAATGTCTCTTTCTATAATATTACCTACACCTGCAGTGAATCACATTTGAATCTTCTCTTTCAGTTCCCTCTCTAGACAAAGATTAGTGAAGGATTTTAGAATCCAACTCCAATCAACTTCTATTTAAAGAATAAAGTTGAAGGAAAATAATCAGAAATTATTTTCTTCGCCATTAAAAAAAAAACAAAACAGCTGTGTTTAATACAAGTTACTTTTTAGGCTTCTGTTATATCTAATTAAAAGTCAAACACTGCTGAAGAAACTGTGACAATAAATCAACAAATGTCTGACACAGTGGTTATGATTCCCCTCTGAAAAACTGACTTACTGGCAATACAGAGAACCTCAAAGACTAGGCTTTAGTTTAGAAAAATTTATCAGTTAATCCCACACCAAATTAAATTTCATTAATCACTGGTAGTCTACTAAGGTAAATAGAGGGTGAAATTCAGTTATCAAAAACTAAGTAAAGTTATCTGAGTAAATAGAGGCTGATACAAACTAACAAACTTCCTGAACTCCATTTCTCTCATTAATTAGATACAGGAACTATAATTAGATGTCAAACATATAGCTCACCTGCAAAGCTTGTATACAGAGTGTGTGTATGTATGTATGTATGATATACACTTAGTTTCTTAAACTGAAGCTAAATCTTATTCTAGAACTATTCTTACTGCAACTTTAATTGGAAGATTCAAAATTAACCTGTAAATTCTGTTCAGATTTTATAGGCACCGCAGCAGAGGGCAGAAAGTGTAGAGAGGTGTGATTACTTTCCAAATACTTATCTCTTTTTTTTTTTGTTTTTGTTTTAAATCCAGAGTTCTTATATTTGAATATCTAAAAGGAAATGAAACTACAAACTTCTACATGATTTATATATGCCTTACCTGTAAAATCACGAGGGCACAAACACTGAAACAAAGGTTGTTCTCTCAGTTGACTCATATCAATGCAAGTTGCTCCACCAGAACAATTATTTGGGTAAATTAAACATGCATTTTCAGCAAATTGACAAAATTCTCCTGTCCATCCAGGTGCACAGAGGCACTAGATATAACAAACACACAAACAAACAAACACAGAAAACCCAAAATGAAAATGCAATGTGAAAGTTTGTAGAATTTTCTCTGGGTCTTGTATTTTACTACTAAGTAAAAGCTTGGTAAAATGCAGAGTGTTGCACCCAGCTGAGACTATTCTTCATGCCTGTTTTTGCAGATGATAAAACAGTTGAGAAAGGAAAAACTCATCTACCATGTCTGTTAAAAAATCTGGGGAAAAAAGGACACATGAGTTGGAGGAAATGGTGAGATAATTACTGGCTGTAAGGGATAAAAACACCACCAGGAACAGAAGAAGTGTGTGTGAAAAACGGATTTTAAAGGGATAGAGATGAGGGAGAAATTGGGCAGTGATGATAAAAAAAGCCTGTAAGACAAACACTGTCACCAACAGTAATCAGAAAACCTAATACAGGGTTTTTGTTATACATGCAGACTCTACCTGTTAAATAAAATAAATTAAAATGGTTTATTCAGAGGAAAGGGGAAGATCTGAAGCTTATATTAGCTTCTCAAAAGAGTGCTGTGAAACTCATGCAAGTGCCCTGATTAAATATAATTAATAGTGGCTTGCCTTGAATCCCAGTATAGCCAACAGTCGTAGCATGCAAGTATTTTAGAACACTGGAATGGTGTACCAGGTTCACAATGCATAAACATTTTACATGAGTATGTGTACATGTGAGCACCAAAGACAGAGAGATGTGTTGCAGTGACTCATACAAGTAAAAAGAAAGTTACTAAAGAGCAAGATTAGCGCAAGGCACAGAAAATAGGCAAAATACATTGCTAAATACAGAAAAAAAGTACTTCTCCAAGGCAAGTAGTACCAGGAGGAGACCATAATTTTTTGAAGGGCAGGGGGAGTGCTTGGGGGGGAGATAAAATATTGTAAACCATCAAATATGTACAGGAAGGATGGAGACAGAAGGCAACCTCAATTCAGTAATGACACTTCTCATCAAAGAGCTCATGAGACAGATTACCCTGACCTTTGATGTTAAGTACCACCAGAGAGCAGAGCCATCAGCACTAACTCTTTGGCACCAGCTCCACAGTGTTGTGTGATCACAGAGAATTTAGAATGTAAATGTTGCACAGTAACGGTATGTGGGTGCACTGACAATGCCTAATAATCTTGAAAACTACTGGCATTAACTATGCTGTTTGTGAATTAATTCATTCAAGTTTGTTTTAAAGTTAAAACTAGCCCTACCTCTCAGTCTTTTACAGTTTAAACTGTAGGAATTCCCTTTACAGTGATCTCTGATTCCCTATCTGACACATATATTTTGTAAAAAAGAACAGTGCTTAGGTGGTCAAGTGAAGGCTTTAAGAGAACTGCACTGATGTGAATGCCTTACTGAGAATCTCTGCATTCAATTGAATTGATTGAAACAGCAGATAACTAAAGCAGACTGCCATCTGCAAAGTGACCTAGGTACAAGAGAAGCATGAGAACCTACAGAATTAGTGTGACTTACCTTCCAAGGCCTGGAAGAACACAATGTTCTCCAGCAGCTGTATATTCCTTTGTATTTGCTGCATTCTTATTCCTACATCGCTCTGTTGTGACAATACCCATATAAGCCCCTGACATTTTCTAATTTCCTTCCCCTTTATCTCCAGGAACACCTTTCACTGCTATGTACTGTCCCTGTCTATGATGTTATGTTTGATTAAATATGACACTACTAGGTGAAAGGTAATAAGAGCTAAAAACAAGTTAGCACGTTCTAGGTAAGTGCATCTATAGGTTTGTCTATCTTTGTTAATCAATTCACAAAGCTTATCCCAGACAAGCCTACAGAAACATTATTTATCCTGTATGTCAATACAGGATAATGCAATATTTTGCATTCATAAGACTCCAGAATTACTTAAATTGAGAGAGACCTTTGAAGGTTTGGATGCAGGTGACACACCTGAAGTATGGGGCATCATCCAGGGGACCTGAACAAACACGAGAAATGGGTCCATGGGAACTTACATCAAAGTTCAACAAGGCCAAATGCAAGGTCATGCACACTGGCTGGGGAATACCCTGGTACCAACACAGGCTGAGGGGAAAGGGATTGAAAACAGCCTAGTAGAGAGGGTTGGAGGTGGTGATGGATGAAAAGCTGGACATAAGCCTGCAACATGTGCTTGCAGCCCAGAAAGCCAATTGTATCCTGGGCTGGATTAAAAGCAATGTGACCAGTATGTCAAGGGAGGTGATTCTGTCCCTCTGTTCTGGTGAGATCCCACCTGGAGTGCTGCATCAGCTCTGGGGTTCTCATTACAAGAAATCCATTGACCTGTAGGAGTGGGTCACCAGTGGGGCCACAGGGGGCTGGAGCAGCTTTCCTAAGAAGAGAGGCTGGGAATTTAGCTTGTCCAGTCTGGAGCAAAAAAAGATTCTGGGAAGAGCTTCCTGTGACCTTTCATTAAAGAGGACTGTGGAAAGATAATTGACTGTAAAATTAGAGGAAACTGAGAAGTTATACCCACATCCTCACAGAAGTTAGGTATGGAAAGTACAGGGTAAAATACAATCGTTGCTTCCTGTGTGGAATGCAATGGAAGTTAAACACTAAGAGCTCATCAAATCTCCCCTTTTCACATGGCAAGGGCTTATAAAAAGGATGGGGACAAACTTTTTAGCAGGTTATATAGCAGTAGAAGGGATAATTTTTGGAAAGTAAAAGAGGGTAGATTCACTGTAGATAGCAGGGAGAAATTTTTCACAGTGAGAATAGTGAAACGCTGGAGTAAGTTCCCCAGAGAGGTGGTAGATGCCTTGTCTTTGGAACTCTGAAGGTCAGTCAGGTTGAATGGGACTCTGAATAATCTCTTTACATATGACTTCATAAAATAATGAAATTTTATTAGTATTTAATTCGAACTTTAAAATGCAAATTAAGAATGTTCATTTTTGAGGTTTTGGTAGTAGATAACAAAAGGGAAAATACTGAAGAATAAAAAAATAATCATCAAGAAGCTCAAACTAGAAACTTACTGTACGGTATTGGAAACAGCTGCCAAAGACACCACAAAATTTTTACTGCACATGGAGATCTTACTGGCATTAATAAACAGGTAAAAAAAATATTATCATAAGTTATGTGCTTCAAAAATATACAATGCTGAGTTTACTGAGTGAAATTTTATGGAGGCTTGCTTTTAACTTCTCAGAAGTTGCATTTAAAAATAAAGCAGAACATTTCTGTTGTTATATCTGCTGAGTTTCACTGTCATTTATATTTAATTACACGCTCTTCTACTATACAAATTTAGATCTATTGAACAAAGATATATGAAATGATTACATGATCACAGTTTTAATTAAATATTTTCATTTAAATTTGCTCTTCAAAAGAAGGAAATTTACTTTATTACATGAAGATTTCTACTGTTTATTAACTTCTGTATTCTGTACTCTCTTCAGAGATAATTAGCACATATGAAATGTACCTACAGTGCTTTGATGGTGTTTATTTCAATAGAATAAGAAAAGCAGGAAAATTAACTTTTATAAAGTCCAAATTAAACACTGGAGAAGGAAAAAGCTGTTTAGGACATTTTAAAATTTATGTGAACTCTTCTGTAGAATTACTGCTACTGTGTGAAAGAAATTGACTAATTAACTGGTGTAAAACTAGCCCCTAATGGAAGTATCTGACTTTGAACTACTGCTGTTTTGAACACACAGCTGGAAGGACAAACACAAGAGAGACATCAATAGAATTAATGATAGTGGCAAAGTGGCTTCACAGAGATGAGATTATAATGCTCTCATATGGTCCATGGGGAGTGAGAGTAGGAGAGACTCTAAATTTTTTTAAAAAGGAAAATGACAATAATCTATTTTATATGTTGTACATAAGTATAAAAATCACATCTGAGAGCAGTAGACTTTGCAGTGCCAATTTTCATTGCTTCTAGAATTGGTAGTAGATCTGTTATAAATATTCATAATAATTTTATCACTCTAAGCAACTGCTTTAATATATAATATGCCAAATATATTGAATGTTTGTTTCCTTTTGGCTTTTTTATAATCAGAAAACAAAAAGTGATAGATACAGTGCAGAAGACTTTTAAAAAAAAAACAAAACAGTGCATTTTTTTTTAAAGAACTGAATTTGTTAAACAAGTTAATGTTTTCTCTCAGCTGTACTGCCTTTGAGTTCTGGATATGTGATCTAGAAGTTATTTCTCCTCCCATGCAATAAATACAAATGGCTTCTCTAAGGATAAATTGAAGGCCTGCTTAGGGCTATGAGATCTAAGCAGTGTGACATGGTTCCATTTTGGAGATTATTTCCAATTCTGCATAGAGATGCTTTGCTTCTGGGTTATAAATTCGGCCAGACTTCTAGGGATAAAACATTATCAAAAAACTTTAGAACTGAGAGTTGCTCCTCAGGGAAGAGCTTACCAAGAGGACCAGAGCATCAGGCTTCCCACAAATGTTTTTCAGGCAAGCCTGTGGGGCTTGGCACTGCTCACTGCTCTTCTGCAAAGCAGCAATTCGATTCCCAGCCTGACAGCTGGCTGATGGGCCTGGTTCTGCACCCACAAAAGCAAACCTCATCTGGGAGGAATGAAACCTGGACCTCTGCCTGCCTGATTGCAATTTCTGTACAAGTTCTGCTGAATGAGGGCCACATATCAGCTTCACATGGAGAAAATCACAGGAGAAAGACAGGTTCCCTCCTCTATCCTCCTTTCCACATCACCCTGAAGGAACATGTTAGGTTTGGTGTTTTCTGTGCTAGTATACAGTCTCATGCTTTGCTAGGGAACAGTAGTCTTTGGACAGAACATATCTGCTTATAAAAGCTATGGATTCACTATATGGATGTGAGAAAAAGGTCAAAAGAGTGATAATATGAACAGCCACAGAGCCATCTGCAGGGCAAGATTTTAGATACCACTCTTTTTATTATATTAATTTTTCTATCCTCTTACAGTGAATCATACTATTAGATAAACATTATTAAATGTGCATCCATATAAGAAAACAAAATTCTGGTGACTGGGGAGCAATTTTCTGAAGGGAATTGGCAGGAATGCATATGTGTACCTGTTCTCATTAATTAGTGCTGTCCAGGCAAATTACTTGTAGAAGTTAAAACCATTATTTCTTTTTGCTTAACTTTACTCTCCCTTAAAAGCAAAATCTACTTCCACTGCACTGTAGGAAAACTAGTTATAATCAAACAGTTAGTTTTGTTGGTCTTTTTGAAGGTACCAGGACATCCACTGGCAATTATTCCAATGCAAAATTCCACATGTAACTGTCAGTACAGCTCCTCAGAGAAACTTCAAACATTTTCTTTGAATGACCGACAGTAGGTGTGGTGATAAAACCCAGAATGATAACAGAGATTGTTTTCTCTTTCTTTAATGCTGCCCCAGTGTGCATTTGCTTGCCAACACAGCTCTGCTGTTCAGTCACTATGTATAATTTGTTTAGACCTTGTCTCAAGTGTAGCGCTGGCAAATGGAAATGGACCTTACAATGACATTGCTTCCTGCTCATCTTTCAGCTTTTGTGTCTACATAACTCAATTTCTTTGCTGGCTGTAAGCACACAGCCTTGCACGAATCAGAGGCTTGTCAGGATGATGGGAGAAAGGCATATTGACAAAATAGACTTGGATACACTATGCAGACCATATAAATTGAAAGATGCTTGTAGCATAGTAATGAGCTGTTAGGCAAAAAAACCCCAAAGCAACAACAAAACCATGAATGAGTATTTTTACACCCTACAAGAAGCGGAAAGCACTTTCAATTTGCATCCCCTTCCATAGGAAATGTGTGGCAGATCATGAATGGGAGAGCGTGTAGCAGCCACTGTAGAGCAGCACTTTCCTGTCCCTCAAATGCACTTCTGTAGGTAATCATAACTGACTTGTAAATTCTGTCATTTCTTATGCAATTCAGTGTTTTCTCTCTGGAAAGCAAAGACAGCTAGTATGCCAAAAAACTTCATAGTTTTCATACCTCAACTTTCTCAATACAGTGTTTTCAAAACTGTGTTCCTTTCCAGGCTCCCAAATTCCAGTAAACTAGAGTAGCGTTATCCTCAGAATTTGCACTGGATTAGTTTGATATATTTTTTCAGTACCTTTCTTTTGTTTGGTTGGCTTTGAGGGTTGTTTTTTTTTTTTTTCAGTTTAACACTAATGATTAAGGAAGAAACAGGGCATCTTAAGGAAAGATAATACTTTTTTCCATGATCTAAACTACTTACTGCGGATAAACAAATAGCAAGGTACTTGATCCACCCTTGGGACCTAGAGGAAAGCTTTACATCCACAAGTGATTTCTTGTTTGTATACTCTCTTTATCGGCTTTCACTGCCCAGTTGTGTGCCAGAGGCTTTACTGGAGCTATTCTAAATCACTGGGAGAGCTCTACTCAAACCACTTCATACCCTGAGGTGTTTAGCATGTGGCAGCAGTATGATTAGCATGAGAAAAGCAGCAGCTCTTTCTTCCCTATCACTTGCCTTTTGGGCATTGCTCATATTTTCCCTGTCTTCAGGTAAAGATAACGAAAAATGATACCTACAGCCATAAATTGTTTAAGACAATCAGATTAAAAACACTGAGAAAATACTATCAGCTGCAAAACAAGAACACTGATTTTTCACTTATAAGATCTGCTTAAGAAAAGCAGATCTTAAGTTGCCACGAGAACAGAAAAATCTATTGAAAAGTGTATTTATAGGCAGATTTTAAAAAAATATTTTTAAGAAGCAGGTTATCATATTGTCATAATAATGTAGTTAAATATTTTTATTATATAAAACCTGCTGAAATCTGAAATTGGTTCACACATCAGTAATTGTATGTTTTATGCTCAAACTGTTTTATTTCTTCTCTTAAAACAGTGCCCCCTGTCTTCTAAGTCGGAGGAATTGTTTATTATAAAACTGACAAACCAGTACATTAATTACCGACTTTCCTATGGTATGGGTATAAAAAAATTAAGATAGTCTATTATATTTTCTTCAGAACTTTTACAATGGCTATATTTATTCTTAGATTCAGTTCCAACATTGCAGCTGCAAATCAGGAGAAATTCAATAGCAGACTTCTTGCAATAATTGATAGATCAATAGTAAATAATAGAATTTTTCATATCAGTATTTTTTTGAGAGAGGAAGATCTGTTCATTTTCAAGAATTGTGTTTGTCACCTCTTAAAATTATATGTCCAAATTATATCCATATTTCTGAAACTGAGTCAAAGCTGCAGTGTTGTCTTTTTGTGCTTTAGAAACTAATAAAGGAAAATGTCTCTTTGATCTTCTTCAGGGCCCAAATAAAATAGGGGGAATTATGTTTTTCACTATTCATGGCAACTTTGGAAAATGTAAACCTGTTCCTAACCTTTTAATATCAGTGAAATGAGTCTGCTGCATTGACTACTAGAAGCAATCCACAATAAGGCCTTCAGCCTTCTGTGGGAATTATGAGATTTGGATCCCACAGTGGTAGATTCTCATGAAATTTAATGTCTGGTGAAGTTATTCACAAGGACAGGACAGATGTGACCTGGAACTTATCCGGGAAGCTGCTGAAACATAACATTGAACCATATTTCCCAAAATGTGTTTGAAAATGCTCCTGTTATAGTCAATAGTACAAAGAAGAAGGAACTGTTCAGAACCATGCACAATACTTTTATCACTTTGTTGCTAATTTAGCTTCAAAATTTTTGGTACCAACAGTTGAATATTTTAAATACAATTGTTCTTTCTTTTTATTCTGAGAAAAACCAATAGACCATGGACTGGTTTAAGACTGCAAATTCATGTTTATTTTGAGGATATAATTTTAAATTATTTCTTTATTTAATAAACCTCATTTTTAATAGCTTTTTCCTCATTTGCAACCTTCTTAAAACAATTTAGATGACATAGCTGCCTATGATGACCCTTCACTGACAGTCAAAGAAATATGACCACTCAAAAATGCTTCTATATATACGAGTGCTTATTTTTGATTACAGGGATTGTCTTTCTGTCTTCATCAACAGTGTGATTTCACATTTTAAAATTCAATTTTAGCTAAAACTTGCCTTTTTTTTCACCAACTATCAGGAACACTTATTACTGTGTAATCCATATTCTTTTTTCTGTGCATACAGCATTGAATTTGCCTCTCCTAGAACATGTTTTTCTAAATTAGTGCAGTCCACCAAGACATACTTATTATTTTTGTGTATTATTAATTACACTACCATTTACTGTGGTCATCAATACACACAGAAGAAGAAGGAGGACTCCAGAAACTACAGTCCTGTTAGGCTCACTTTTGTGCCTGGTAAAAGCATAGAAAATATTATTCTGGGAAGTACTGAAAAACACCTGGAGTGCTGCAGTCATCAGTCACAGCCAGCACAGCTTCATGAGCAGAAATCCTGCTTGTCAAACTTTATTTCCTCCTATGAAAGTGAAACCCACTTAGTTTATTTAGGAAAATGAGCGGATGCATCATTTCAGGAACGCTTTTGATACTCTCACAGGATGTATCTGGACAAAATATTAATAACCAGGTTACATGATGGGTGAGCAACTGGTGCACAGGTCAGGCACAAAGGGATATAAGGAATGGTGTGACATAAGTCTGGTGATCTGTCCCTGTATTGGGGTGTACTGTCACTGCTGGGGTTCCACAGGGCTCCATCCTCAGCCCTGCGCTCTTCAGCATCTTCATAAATGACTTGGACAAAGAACTTGAAGGAATACAATGTGAGTTTGCTTGTGACACTAATCTGGGAGGAGTTTTAGGCTCCCTCAAGGACAGAGAGGCCCTACAGAGAGACCCTGAGAAATCAGAGGGGCAGGTAATCACCAGCCATATGAAGTTTAACAAGGACAAGAGCCAGATTCTGCACTTTCCTTAACATTTTCAGGCACAATTTAGAGAGCTAAAACCAGCAGACCTAATATTTTTTTTTTTCCTAAACCGTAAGTTGGAATGAACATCACCACACTACAGTTTCATCATCAAATTTCTAAATTTGTAATAATTTTAAACATGTTTATATGTAGATAAGTAATTTGATTCTGGTTAAAATAATGGCAACAGATTATCTTAATACAACCAATGTACTTTTAAAGGCTGCAACGCTGCAGTGATTATCATCCTTGTGGGTAATGACACTGGACCACAATTAGTTACATATTCTTTTTACTATAAAAATATCCTTCAGTTATCTTACTTGATACAGTACTAAACATGATCTCAATAAAAAAGTAATAAAAAAATCCATATTACCCAAGTGAATTGCCCTTGTGTTATTGATTAAAATTAATACAACCTATAAAATTGTGCCCCTCTTGTCGCTTAGAGTAATGAACGCATTTCAAGTTTGCTTGTCTGAAGCTTTTATACTTTGGAACACTGAATTAGTTTAACATGTATTAAATTACTTACAGTGAATCCTCCAATTATATTAAGACACAATCCTTCATTCAGACAGTTGATGCTGAGCAGCCTGCAGTAGTCAATTACTTCCTCACAGTTCTTTCCAGTGAATCCTGGCATGCAGCTGTAAATACACCAGTGTATTTTAGAGAACTTGCATTTTTAAAGTTAACTGTATTTAATTATGTTCCATAAATCTATTAAATAGATTTATGTTCTTGCAGTAAGAAAACATCTCTTATGTTATTTAAAATAAACAGATATTTTGTTTTCAAGAAATTAAAAATCCTTCACATGACTCTGGATAATTTTGTTTTTTCATAAATAATTTCTTTCATTGATGAAAGAGTTTTCACACCAATATTTCATATAATCTTCCAGGAAAAAAAAATCTAGAAAGAGGCATTATTCAACAAACAGTTATAGATAAGGTAACAAGGTTTTGGAAAACTATTAGAAATGATAAGTCAAATTAAGCATCAGAGAGATGCTTTAACGAAAAAAATTAGAATTCAATTTTTGTGACTGTTTGTTAGTCCCGTGTGATGCCAATGGAGTGATGGATAACTCATGTATGTCAAAAGAACTATAGAAATTTCTTATGCTTCATGTCAGCACTTATTATTAGCAGGAGAAAATCCTTTCCTGATGTAGCTCTCACATGTTAAAAAAATCCCATATACACAAATAAAACATATGAGATTCAAATAGATAATAAAGAATTCTTACTCAAAATCAATAATGGAGCAATGTAGAAAAATATTTGAATGCTTATATCTTGATAGATAGATAATCCTTGTCAAACACACTCACTATGTTCTTACAGACACAGCATGTTCTCCTATCTAAAGGCTATTTCTAGTATCTTGGAAAGAAAATATTTAAGAAGAAGAGAAAGGAAAGGGCCAGTTAGCTGAAAATTTGTGTTTGTGAAAGAATCCAAAATATAGATGGGAATTTCTCTAGCTGTTTCTATGAGGTATTTTTTTTCAAATGATTCAGTCCAGAAACTGGATATTATGATGATTATACAGAATTGCTTCTGGTTTTCCTAAGTTCTTGCTCCTAATAGGTTTGAGATCCAGATGTGTTGCTTATGTTTTTTCATTTAGGAAAAACCTATCCAATTCCTGGTTTCAAAATGCATGAAGCTTCTCACAGTCATGCAGCAAACTAAAGTAAGGGATATATTTTCCATAGCAACTGCTTAGGCAACAACATTCAATAGAAAGTGTCTGAGTTAACCATACTTTCTAAATCAGTTAAAGATGTCTCTCTCTGGCTCTGAGTCCGAGGAATGCACAGACACATCTAACATGTCCAGAAGCTTAAGCCACTTTATGAACCTTAGGGAAGTGTTAAACTGGTAGGATTTAATCAGAAATCAGCCACAATTCATGCATGGGACCATTTGGACAGAGGTAAATGGATATGGAAAAACCTGTAAATGGTTATGTGCCTTGAGGCTGGTATAGACACAAGTACATGAGGACACTGTATGCAAGTAGCAATGCATTGTGTAATCCTCACCTTCCTCTTGAAAAAGGTGCTGCATGCAAACATTTTTCTACTATTTCAAATACTTGGCTTCCAAACTCTTGAAAAGTCTATTCTTAACAAAGTTCTAGTTCACATATTGTAGCTAAAAGGAGTCTTTTGTTATAAAATTTACATAGGAAAAGAACGTAAAACAATAATAAATAAAAGGTTTTGTATATAGTGTCTTACAATTTTTAAATAACAGTGGTTTTGTTGTTGTTGTTGTTGTTTTGCAATAAACATACCAATGTCAGGAAAGGGAAATGTAAGCTAACAGAAAAAATGTTGACAGTAAAGCTCCTAAGATGGCACCAACAAAGCTAACAGAAAAAATGTTGACAGTAAAGCTCCTAAGATGGCACCAACAGAACGTATTTTCTCAGAACACCCTTTCATATTTTTTGTGACTTTTTATTATCGTAAAGCACATGGATAACAGAAGAAGATAGAAAGCAAACAATCATAGTTTATTGTGATAGATATGCTCGTTCACTGCCTATTTGAATTCACCTTAAATTTTGACATTTAAGAAGAAATGCAACTATTAGATTCTTAACACAAAGTTGTGTGTGATATCAAGACTGAAAGGATGGAATTAGGATACAAGACAGTCATACATCATAACTGAAGTGGGGAAAATTAAATTGATTCTGTTTGGTTATATGTTTAGAATGGAAAACAGCTGCTTTCCCAAACAAGGAAGGATGTGTTGAGAAGGAGCTGGAATTATGAAGGATATAAGAATGTTGTTTGGGCATAAGGAAAACAAGATAGCATAGGGGGAAGCAAATTAAAAAGTAATGAAGTAAAAAGTTCAATTCAGTTATTATTTGAACTTGTACATGCATCTGACCTAAACACCATTGCATTTATTTATGATATTAAAATACTATAAAAGTGGATCATGTAATAGTATTACACTTAGTATTACACCAAATGTAGTATGAAACACCCTCAGTTTATTGTGGAGTGACTAGACAGAGACATAACATACAGTATTTGACAATTATTACCAAAAATGAATCAAATCTTCACTTAAAATATTGATGACCAGTTACAAATCTCCCAAATTCAGGAAACATAATTAATCTTGGATTTCTTTTGGGTAAAGTAATTAACATGAATCACAGGCAAAAATAAGTCTGTGAATTTAGAAAACTGAAATTCTCTAACCACTGTTCCTATAGGTCTTCTGAAGTCCTCTGTTAACAGAGTAGCTAATGCAGAAAATGAATTTGAAAAGATAATTTTGAATTCTTAAAACAGTAAAGCCTGCTGACTGTTGGACCTCTCTATCTGTCAACACCTCCTCTGCATTTATATTTATTAACTATTTCAGATTAAGTAGTGAAAAACTGATTTTAATGTCATAAAAAATGAGGACAACATTTTTTTATTTATTAAAAATATTGAAATCAATAATTGAAGTCTTTGTGGACTAAATGGCCAAACTAAGACTGAACATTGGAGATTTTCAATAAGCATTTGGACAGGGTTCTAGATAATCTCATCTGAATTCCCTTTCCCATTAAAGGTTGGACCAGCAGACACTTCAAGGTCGCTTTCAAACTGGGCTGTTCTGTGAGTCTCTGATAGTGCTATGTATTTATTGTGTTCTAATATTCTGTGATTGCTTTGTATCCCTCTACCTCTGTACAAAGAAAACTGCTATCTTGTGTAAGATGTGTCATGCCACCTGCTCTGGATAGTTCTCTGTGGAAGATATGAGTCACTTTCTGGAGTTCTCCTCCTTCATTAAGAATGTCTGGTAGGAAAATTGGCTGCTAAGGTAAACTTTGTGAATTGAGTACCATTCACAGTGTTCTCTCTAGGTTGTTAGTTCCCTTTTAGAGCATTCTCAGTGTTAATAAGTTTATAACTCACCCCAATATAACATGGATCCTTAATTGCCCATTTTTATGTTCTGCTATACTGATCTAAATAATGACTTCCATGCTTATTCTCACATAATCAAAGACTATCAAAGCAAAGCAAAAAAAGCAAAGATAGTTAAACTATAAGGTTTTCCCACAGACATTTTTATTAAACAATTTCCGTGGTGCAATGAGGTTCCTGGTACAGACCATTTCTACAAATACTTTGTGGAATTATAGATTATTCAATATGAATAATGGGGCCAGAATAATTTTTTATTACTTCAATTTTTTGTTTGGCTTCTGTTAATAAAGGAAATCTATGTCCAGATAGTAATTGTTCATATTGTACATATTTTTAAATGTAAATTTCAACACTTTATACTAATATACACATATTATGGGAAAGACTGGCTATATAAAAATAAATTATTAGTATATATCTCAGTTTAAAGAATTGTAAAATGAATGATAACACTTGTCTGTGTAGTATGTTGTTCTGTGGTTTCATACCTATATGGGAAGATCTAACTATATATGAGCTTGCATATGTGTGTTTGTATGTATATCTGTATTTAGGAGTGAATATGAATTAAATTGTTCGGATTTTCTTCTTTGGGAAAACTGTAAACATATTTCTACTTATATTTTAATTTCAAGTCTTCTCAATGGAATCTCTGCTGATGCACTGTAACTCTGTGTTCTATAATTCTATTTTTTGCAGTTTCTAAGTTCATTCATAATATGTTGTCAGGCTTTTTTGTATCACAGTCTTCAATTCTCTGCTTTTATGAATATCCTAAAATTTGAAAAATGTTTACTTCAGTAATGTTTATCAGAAAATACTCAGGCAGCAAAATAAAAGCCAAGCAAAGGGGAATGGGATAAATTCTATGACTTACTGGCACGGAAAAAAACCCCTTAAAAATCTATTTAAAAATGAAATTAAATTATACATTGGGTCGCTTCTGGTATTTTCAAATGGATAATTTTTACTGTGGTCTTTCTGTATAAAATAGCTTTTCATAAGCTGTTTGAAGGATCAATTTAAAGTCTACTGATGCGTGTCTGCGAGCTAGAAATTAAATAGGTTGCCTTATCTTTTCAGAAACAACATAAACTTCATACACCCTGCAAAGGAGTGGCACATGTAGTATAACTGTCTCAAATGTCATCACTGTTTTAAAATGTATATGTTTTTATAGTATTAATAATTAAACAATTTATAGCCCTTAAATTCTTTAAATCTTTTTGTATCGCTCCCAGACTTTACAAAAAGCCGAGCAAAGTAAAGCACAAAAGATGAATACATTTTTTAAAACAAAAGTTTATAGTTTTCTGTGTTCTCTGTGAATGATGATGTCTTTCTGCAATCTGTGTGAAATCATCAAGTGAAACAACGAAGTACTGAAATAAATTAATTTCCAATCTTACCGGCAGTTATAGTTTTGCTGTTGAGCTACACAAGTTGCATTATTTAAGCAAGGTAATAATTCACATGGGTTCAGTATTCTCTCACAGAACTTGCCAGTAAATATTGGCATACAGATACATGCCACATCCTATAGAAGAGAGGGAAATTAGAAATAATTATTTGTTGTACCCAAGACAACATAAAATTTAGTGTACATGGTGTTTATATCCATTACTAGAGAGGTTCTGTCTCGGACAACTTTTCATCATATAAAGCAGTCTACAAAGACAGAGCAGTTCTAGTCCCAGATAGGGTTACAAACTTAATTTAGGACAAGCAGAACAGGCCTTCCAGCATAGATTATACTATACTTGAGTTTGCTAGATGGAAATATACCAGCTTTAAAATTGTGGTTTTGTGATCTTGTAACTGAATTAAGAAGAAGTTTTATAATTAATTTAGGGTATTTTTCTCATTTCTGATTTTTTTGCAATGTAATGTTTGCATGAATTAAATAGTAACAGTATACAAGGTACATCAGTAACCAAACAGTGTCACAAGCTAGAGAAGGAGAGATAATCATGGTTATGCATTTTCTCCTTCAATATAAAGCACAGAGTCTATGCTACTCTTTAACAGTGAAAGACATCTGCCAGTTACTGCAATCTCTAATTTGAACAATAGGAAAAGTGAGTTCTTTTACAAAGCAAAATATTTCTTAGGGCTGACAGTCCCACTCTTATTTTTCTATGCTCTTCATGGGCCTTTTGAAGTCAGAAAGAAAAGGAAAAAATAAAGGGGTGGGTTTCCCTAATGAAGTTGGAAGTGTTTAGGTGTTTCTTTAGAATTGGTCTTAAATATAATTAGAAAACTTCAACTCCCACTGAGACATTTCTATATGTGTGAAGCAAACTATTCCAGCTGTTTATCTATTTCACAAAATAGTTTGTGCTAGTATATCTAGTACACAAAATATTTAGACCAGGTGCATAACTTAGAAATCTATCAATTAATTCAGCAATTTAGATGTTTTTTTTCCCTCTGTGTATGAATGTGCATCACTGCTACATGATAAGCAAGCTTTTGAACTCTTCTTTCACAGTTTTGGTTCTGTATAATAACTGCTATTTGCAATAGTCATGCTAATGAAAGAACGTCCACAATTTATTTTGACATACTACCAGGTATGACTTTTTTATCAAAACTTCATGAGTTCTGCATGAATTTATTCTATTTTACAAAAAGAAAAAAGACAAAAAAAGAGAATTTAAAAACTTATACCTCATGAAAAGCAAGAACAAGACAATCCCTAGTTAATAAAGATCACATGATAACTCTTTTGTGTCAGTTGATTTTTTTAGGGAGAGGAAAAAAGAAATAAAATAATATGGCTAGTTCCTTAAGTGATTGTGATCATCAAGCAACTGACATGAAATGGGGAGTTTGGGGTTTTTTATACTAAAAATGTTATAAACAGGACACATTGAGAAAATTCCATGTTTCTTCATGAAGCATGCAAAGCTAATTAAAAAATTTACAATAGAATTAAATATTTTGACACTTTCATGGAATAGATCCTCCTGTGAAGTATGTCAAAGCATATGGATAACAGCAAGGTGATTAGAAACAGACAATATGGCTTCACAAAGGGTAAGTTATGTCTAACTAATGGTGTTATGTATAACTAATGGTGTCTTTCAATAAGGCATCTGATAAAATTGACTTCTTTGAGACCTCTGACATCATCCCACACATCATCATTTTTGCTAAATTGGTGAGACAGGAGGGAAGTTGTAAATGCCTTCCCATGAAGTGTTCAAGGTCAGATTGCATGGAACTAGATCAGCAATCTGATCTAGAGTAAGAGGTCTCTGCCCACTGCAGAGAAGTTGGAAATAAGTCATATTTGTTTCTTCCATCCCAAATCATTCTGTGATGCAAAGTTGTAATTCTATGTTCAAATACAGCTCTCTTAATATTTATACTTACATTTGGCAAATCAATACATGTACCTCTGTTCTGACATGGCCTTGAAGAGCATTCATTGATGTTAATTTCACAGTTCTGACCAAGAAAACCAGAAGGGCAATCACAAACATATCCAGACTGTTTATACTGGCATACACCTCCATTTAGGCATGGCTGAGAGGCACAAGGATCATCAGGTTCTTCACAAAATGGACCTAAAAGAAATAAACATATAAAATTACAGAGTGTTGGAGAGATGATTGACATGCTCTTTGACATTACTTTTCTACTATGTTGGGTTTCCCTATTATTTTTCTTTTTATTTTTTTTTCTATTTTGTTGAGGGATTAAGAGGCTTTTATTACTTGTGTTTCTCCAATGTTTTTTTACACTGTGAAGCTCCAGTTACAGGCTGGGATGTCTGTGAACTATCACCACTTAAAAAGCAAAGAACTTAACTTATTCCTGTATGCTTTGTTTGTTTTGGTGAATTAACAAGGTAGGAATCTCTGGGAGGGACAAACCCGAAGGATGTGACTGGAGCCATGGTCCCATGTGATGATGAGCAGTCACTGAACATCTCACAGCAGTTATTATTAATGGAAACTGGATGCAGTGGATTCCCAGACCAGGAGGGCTCATCCCACTCCTGTATATAGATCCAGCCAGTACTGAGCCTGAATGCGCTTTCAGTAAGCAAACACACAATCACACACATACACACACTACAAAGCTGCTGCCCATGTGAAACAACATGAAGAACAGTGTCTTTTCCCTTAGATAAACATCACAGCAGTCACACAAGCACAAGCAGCAATGATGGCTCAAACCTTTTCCTCATCTCTGGAGAGTTAGTATTGAAGTTCAACAATGAACATACATACTCCTTCATTTTTCTAAATATATTTCTATTTTTTAAATATAAAGGTAAACCCACATTAGTGGGTCCCTCAGTAATCAGCATAGATTTTAAGTCTGTCTGATTTCCATATCCAGATCCTGAACCTCTTGCTGACTTGCTGGCTCAGAGCTTGAGTCATCCAGATCTGGATGTGTCATTCTGGTTTCTGACTAGTCTAGTTTAATGATCTATCACTCCCCACTAGGAGAGTGATAATAGAGAAGTTAACACAGAAGTAGTACAGAAAATAAACTGTTACTTAGACTCTTTTGGCCTTGCAAGAAGATAATTGGCAAAATTTGCCCAAGTCACCCTCTTTAATTATTTGAAATATCCATGTCTCACAAAATTCTCCCTTCACTGTCTGTGAAATACAGTCCTTGCTCATTGTGGTCTGTGCAATATTTGTCAGCCACTTACACTGTTACTTATTGAACTCAGCAGTTTGTCCTGCTATGTCCAGCAGCTTCCCATGTTCTCCTAAATTCTTGTAAACCTAGGCAGGACTTAACTGACTTGTCTGCATATCTTAACATTTATGAACTGCCTAAGTGTTTTTGACAATTAGCTCTTTTTAATTCTGTGACATCAAAGATGAAGAATTATAGCATCTAAGAATTTATTTCCATTTACTTCTGGAAAATTATGTATCAAATATGCTTTTTACATATCTTTTAATTTGGTGCTCTTATTCAAACCACCTCCCTCATACATACTTACAAATTGCATCAGAATAATTTGTTAGCAATTTGCTGTAGTGATAATACACCTTTGTAATAAATCCCTTCTGAAGTAGTAATATGTATTGAGTCAACATTTTATTAGTCACTTGAATCCACTGACTAAAAAATTAGACATTCATGAAAGATTAAATTATATTTGACAAAAAAATATAATTTCAAAATTATAAACAAAATACTTTAAACTTAAATTGTAAACTGCAGGATAAACATAATTATAAGCCACTTAATAGAAAATTATGTGAACCTCCAATAATTTAATTATGAATAGACCAGCTATCTAAAGCAACTGAAAGTATGTGGAATAACATTTACCAGAAAAGTGAAATATCACACTTTGTCTCTATTATATACCAGAGCAGTTGATGTGACAGGGTCAAAGAATTTCCCTTTTTTTCATTCAGATCAGTAGAAATAGTTAGGCCAGTAAGTCAAAATGAATTGTATCTATCTTTTATGACAGATTATTCACTTGTCCTTAGCATCAGAGGACATTCAAAGGATCGTTCAAAAATTTTTTGCTATCCCTCATCACCATAGTAACCAAATTACTGAGCATTGCGAATTCCAGATGCTAGGGCTTGCTAATAGGAGAAGCTAAGTAGCCATTCCTCAGAAAAATGCCATTAATTGGTGTTAGTGAATATATAAGAGAACATTTGCAACATGAAATGAGGGGGATTGGTCAATTCTTTCTTGTTATTCAATTTACTATCTAGCTGTCCCACTCTACTTCAGTGTAACATTGTGCCCCAGCAGTACTCATAGATGAGGTTATATATCAAGGCTCACCTTATTTTTTCTCCATGATTAGTCACACTTGACAAGAATGGGTTCTCCTGCCCCATCCAAGTTAATAATCAGAAGGAAAATGAGCAAAACAGGCACCCCATTTGCTCTACCCAAAGGAGAGCCAGAAAGTGAAATCTCACTAGCTTAATGGACTAATAAGTTTTTCTTGCCATTGTTTCTACCCCTGAATCCATTCACTCCTCCATGGGTTTTAGTGCCACCATTACCAAGTTTTATTTTATTTTTTTTTATTTTATTATCTTAGCCTTTTGTTAAAAAATGGCTCTCAATGGGATTATTAGAACAAGGAAACACTAAATGAAAAGAACAGGACAGAACAATGAAAGCCAGTGGGAAAAACCAGATGAAAGAGGTGACTTTGCCAATGTTATGCTCATTTGTAGCAAAACTAGGAAAATGGTATTGTTCTGCCAGAAAAAAAAAATAAAAAAAAAGATAGTGCAACATTCTTTTAAGAGATGATTAAAGTATCTAGAAGAGGAATAAAAAAAAGTCTTAGAGTAGGTAAGGAAATATTGTCAATAGCACCATGAGAAAATATATCAAAGAAAACTGCAAGTTTCAAGGATGGCAAAAAAACCTCATATTTATCTTATTACTCTTCTCTCCTCAGCATTTCCTTGCAAAAAGATCAAAAAAAAATAAAAAAATTATTAATTTGGGAGAAAACAGCACATTTAGTGGAAATTGGTAGCCAATTACCTAAGTAGGTGAAGGGGTATTAATTTAAATGAAGATATTGACTCATGGTCTAAAACACAAGTCACATCTACCAAAGTCTTTTAGGAAAAATTCAGTCTTCAACTGTAATTTTTCCTTAATAATTGACAATAATTATGTCTTTCATATTCCTCTACTTTATAATTCCCTGTATTCATCATTTTATGTGAAAACAAGAGAAACATTTCTTCACCTGAATATCCATGCCTGAGGAGTTTGACAAATCAAGTCAATTAATGGAATTCTGGAGAATTAGTGCTTTGAGATTTTTATTCTATCGTTCCCAAACCTGATGCCACACTCAATCTATTTGCTAAATAAGATTAAAAAGTGACTTGATTACAGCTCTTGGATGGGGAAAGTATTAAGCACTAAAGGGATCATTAATTCAGAGAGAAGAGTGTAAGAAAAGCAAATGACTGAAGAGAGATGTAGAACGAGATAATGTGAGAAAAACCTCACACCTTTTTACTAGAGATCTCTTTACCTAACTACCCTAAAAGTATTGAATTATAGAGTTGCTGATGTTTTCACATCAATGCATTTTGAAAAATACTTTTTTAATTGAAAGCAAGACAACTATATAGAAGAGGACATATGCAATATAATAAGCTTTGGTCAGAAGAGGTGAATGATGGGTCCTCTGAAATTGCAAATCTGTTTATGTAATTTGACTCAAGAAGTATATAAATCCTTTTAAAAGTTGTGCAAATCAGGAATTATTACTATATTATTTTTTTAAAATGTACATATTTTGTCATTATCAGTGGCTCTTGCAATATGTTTAAATGAATACTTAAATTCATATCTATGCTAACATTAACTGCACTCTTGAATGTTGTGGTAAGAAGAAAGGTAAAGAAGGAATAGGGCAATAATCAATCTTTGTAATCTGATATCAAATGCAAGCCCCAGAAAGAGGTCAATATTTAAGCAATGAACAGTGCAGCTGGGATCAGCACGTCAGTCCAACTAGCACATGCATATTTGAAATGTTTGTACATCTTCTGAAGACTTGAGACTTGAATTGAAAAAAGAAAAAAAATATGGCAAGGCATATTGTCTTAACTGCACAGATTTGATACAAAACTGATACAGATTTGATTTAAACTTCTATTTTAATTTTATATCAATAAAAATATAGTATAGGCATATGTGCCCTAGATGCTGTGCATTTCTGTTGCCAACAATTTCAACAGAAGTAATTTTTCCCTCAGACCCAAAAAGAGACATTTGCTGAAAATACTGAAGTCTCATTAGTACTCATTGATGAATGATCAGCTACTCAAAGCTTATGCAAATTCTCAGGAAGATAAATGCAGAAACCATGTTCTAATGGGAGATGGTTGATTCCAGAAATTTCAGTGGGAAAAAAAAATAGTCATCAGCTGGATTGAATACCCTGATTAAAGAGAAAATTCCAAGAAATTTTAAGTATCATCAGTAGGACCAGTTCACCTTTGTCATTCAAAATAATGAATTCTTGTTTGCTTTACTTGAATAAAATAAAAACTGTGGAAGATTAAAAATCAGGAACAAGTGAGTAAAGATTATCTGATAGACTAATATGAAAGCTAATGAATTTTAGTTTAAGAAACTGAACCCTATTTCCAACATCCTCGGTTGAATTTACACATGAAAACGATAAAATCTTTCACCAAACCGAAACTAATGACAGAAGAACCCCAGCTCTTCCTTGTCCAGTTATCTCTATCCTGCCTAGTCTTCCTTTCTATGGTTTCATTGCTATGTTATAATGATAACCCATTTAAAGACAAAGGACATTCCTGACTCCACTGATAACAATCACTCAATTTGTTAAGATATCACATTGTGACACATAAATATCTGAGGTTACAGATTAAAATAAGTAGTTTCTCTTTCAGTTGCAGTATTTCTGGACTTCATATTTATGCAAACATTTCTCTTCCCAAGAAACAATATATGTTATGATTCATATTAGCATCCTACACTTTAATATGATATAAGCACTCTCATTTTGTTGTTCCTCTAATAAAAAGCCAGTATTTTCTAGAACAGT